GAAACTTTTCCGTGCACCTCAACCAAACAAACAAACAAACAAACAAACAAACAAACAAACGAACAAAAAAATCAAACAAACAAGCAAAGAAGCAGACAAGCAGACAAACGAACAAACAAACAAACAAACAAACAAACAACAAACGAACAAACAAACAAACACAAGCAAACAAACAAACAAACAACTATAAATAAAAACCAAGGAAGAAACAAACAACCATGAATATATACATACATACGTACATACATACATACATAGATCCATCCCTACAGAAATCCATCATCCCCACATCCATCTATGCATACACGGTCCCAGCATGCATGTATTTGCATATCTAGGTACACACATAAAAATTACATGTATGTGTACGTACTGGTAAGCACAATGAACGAAATGATGTAAAATGATTGGTAACTCCCCCTCCCAAGACGTAAATCACGTCTGCTCACGCACTGCATCTGGAACAAATTCCACCGGCATCCTGGGTACAGGGATAGCATTGATGCAAGACAAGTTCCACAATTCTCAGAACAACTGCGATAACTTGCACCCCAACACTTCCAAGACTTCCCGCCTTGAATTGCAAGATTCAAATACGTCCAAATCTCCAAACCGCATAAACCGTTTAAGGATCGCTTTTCGTACAACTGCAGACGATGGAGTATCGTATGAAATGGCCTCACAGAAACTCCACACCGTCAATACAGCAAGTTGTAAGGACAGCCAATCCTGCTGGCAACCTCAAGCAATATTACCCTAATGCTACCATCTCACATCGGTGTCTAGTGAATAGTAGTTGTATAAGGCATGGATCATTACTGCAAACAATACTCAATACTCTGCATTGACCGCCGGTTCTTCTGCTCAAGGGGTTGCAGCGCGCCAGATTCACCCCACAGCAGGTGGGAGAAACAGCCCCCATGGATACATGTGAGCATGACGACTTCGGCCTCCTTCGCTCCTGCGAGACAAGTGAGGGGCAACGCCATCTTCCATCGCAGCGCCAACATTGATATTCGACTCGCAGATGAACAACAGCTGCCGATCCGGCACAATTGATGTGTGGCAGTAGCCTCGCGAGTGTCAGCCTTGCATGCCTTGTACAGTCTTCGGTGGCCGTTACATCTCAGCGAAAGTGGGTACTCAATCCCGACGCCTCCAGTGTGAGGATCCGGGGCGTAGGGATTGCTGTTATGCTAGCTTTTTGAGAGTATACATCTATCTGTCGATCTAAAAAGTTTAGATTCTGAATCATGTACATGCATGTGCTACGCTTGACCATCATAAAACGTGCACATCTGCGTGTACTTCATTCAATGTTTGTACATGCTTTTTGAGATCCGGACCCATTCTCCCCAGCATCGACTCGCCGAGCCCTGCAGGAATTCACTGCCCACACAATCGCCCAAATGGCCCTCCGATCTGTCCCTCTGTGCCTGCGCCAAGCAGAGGTCCATCTGCCTCCCAAGGCCAGAATGTGTCGGCATGTGCAGTTGGGCCAGGCTGCACGGTGTGGCTGCTGCATGCTTCATCAGCTGTTCGGTAGATTCAGGATATGAACAAGAATCCGGTCAACTCCAATGTACGGGATTTCCATGACTGCACATTTCCGGACATGACGACTTGCAGTTCCTAAGCCGAGCACCTCCTCTGTGCCCACAGCCGTGTAGCCCATGGCCGCTTTGTACCTCTACACGAGACATCCAGCTTGGACATGATATCATTTCCTGCATGCAGGTGCGGAAAGGAACCCTATGGGCTAAAGCGGCAACTCGGAGCTGGGCCACGGAACCGCTGGCGATTCAAACCGGACCTCCAACGGCATTCTCGCTTGCCAGAACTGGACGAAGCCAGTGTTTTCGTGTGCGCTTCTGTTTCCAGGGCCGGAACAGTTTTCGAAGAGCCCCCGGCAGATGCCAGAACCTGTCCAGAGGCAAGGCCTAAACTGATTGCAACCTTGCCGTTATGTCAACAGATATTTTTGCCACAAAGTCAAAGGACCAATGCTTAGCGGCTTAGCGTGTTTCGCAATTTTCCAGGCAAAGGGTGCCTGCTCGCCATGTGAAGTTGGCTGAGGTGCCTGCGACATCTTGGATGCATTCGTAGTCAGATCTTAACTGGCAGCCCCTCCTGCTTGTGGAGTAGCCGGGTGGCCTGGCTGGACCGTTTTGCGTGACTCTGTAGCAGCAAAAAGGGCTGACTTATACGGGGCGTTCTCTAAAATGCCGCAGTCACATCGCCGGAGAGGATGGAGTTCACCTGGCATCAGTCATGCAAGTCAGAAACTGCCAAAGCGACGGCTTTGCTGGCAGGAGGAAGTATCAAAGGTTCGCGCATGTTCTGCAAGCGTTTCTCACAGGGTGAGGCAGTGCGGATGTGGAACACCAAGTGCTTTTTGGCACCCTCGTCACTGGATCCTCCTCTACTCGAACCTTCTGAGTCCTACTCTCAATCGTTTGCCTTACTCTCTCATTTCATTGCCCACGACCTGCTCTTCGGTGAGTGGAAACTGCACCGGATGTGCAGCCTCTTCCTGCAGTTTGTGAAAGAAAGGGACTTGGACTTCCCACGGACACGGACCCGAATCCTTCAACTCAGCTTCCCAGCTGCTCCGAGTGCCGCCATGCCTTACGGACACGCGCACCAGGGCCGACCGAAGCTGTGATTCGACCTCTCTGCCCCGAACCGCGTTCAAGCGGCAGCGCTAAGGTGCTGGCGAGTAGTTCAGCAAAACAGTCAAGTTGGACAAGAAGTGCGTGACCTCATGTCGACATGAATGAACAAGCGACTAGCGCAGGCGTATACCTGGATTTGACAGGTGCCGATAGCTAAAAGCACTATTCCATAGCTTCACCCTGCGATGCTGCTGGACGCGTGCCAACTGCAACGACAACGCACATTGCTGCTGCGATTCGCGAGCATGGCTCCACAACCCAATGCGGCTAGGGCCAAGTTCAGTCCAAGTCTCCCAGCTGTTCAGCGGAAAGTCGGCCTGTTGCAAGCTGTCACGAGGTCCCACTCTGCATGAAAGCTGCATGACTGTACGACGACAATACCGCCGTGCAAAAGCTGGATTGCAACACTTATCGATACGTATGCCCTTTGTGTTGCAGCCTGGTCTGTGCCCTGCCACTGGCGATGGTGGGCACAATTCATAAATGCCAACTGCTACTCTCTGCCACTGCTAATGCTCCTGCTCCGGCTCCTGCTCCTCCTCCTCCTCCTCCTGCTCTCTTCCGCGATCGAATCCGAAGCCGTATACAGTCGGTCAAATGGCCAAGCCCAAGCTCCGTCGGAGCGAAGTTGCCCCACCCTTGCACGGGGCGAAGTGGTCGAATAGGTTAGTTGCACGTGCTGTCTGAAGCCAATGCCTAATGCTGGCGATCCCTGAAGGGAAAGCTTCACTGGTAACTGCTTCGCCACCTCGCTGCTTCATTCCTGGGGGCCGAATGAACAATGGGTTGCAAGGACTTGGCCAGGACGACTGACTTAAGAATTCTTGAGGATCGCTGATTCATTTGAACTTGTTTGCGCGGTGAAACAAAACAAGGACTGTAACTTTGGCAATTTTGTGGCCTGATGTGCTCGGCCTGCGAGGCGGATGTGGTCAGACCACATCTTGTGAAACGGTTGTCTCCTCGTGGCCCAGTTGGAGCGATCTTTTGCGAGCCTTGGAGAGTTCAGAAGCGGAGTTGTCGTTGGTATCTGAGATGAAGATGCGATGCACTGCATGTCCGTCTGCCTCACTCGCTGCGGTTCGACCTTGTGAAGTGGCACATAGTTTCTTCCCGGCCCGGAACTCTCGATCGCGGAAAGCACCGAAGATGTGAGCTTCAGGCACACTCCGATGTAGCTTTTGTGATCCACGGATGAGCAGCCATTCCGGTCTCGCTTTTGGCACTACTTCCCCTTTAGCTGATATTAGCTGATCAAAGGCTCCAGGATGTTGGAGGTCTGGAATCAACCTTCCTGTTAAAAGCCAAGTCACCTATAATCAAATATTCGAATACTACCCGCTGCTACTACAACTACTGCTGCTGATGCTGCTGCCGATACTGCTAGTGCTGCTACTACTACTACTACTACTACTGCTACTGCTAATGCTACAACAACAACTACTACTACTACTACTACTACTACTGCTGCAAGTACTACTAATACTGTTATTACCATTTTTGCTACTCGTGTTACGAGTACTACCAGTACTACAAGTACTACCAATGCTACACGTACTACTAGTACTACTAGGTGCTACAAGGACTACTGGTACAGCTAGTACTACTAGTGCTAGTACCACTACTACTACTACTACTACTACTACTACTACTACTACTACCACTACCACTACTACTACTACTACTACTACCACTACTACTACTACTACTACCAGTACCAGTACCACTACTACATCAAGCACTACTACTGCTGCTGCTCCTGCTCCTGCCGCTCCGCTCCTGCTCCCGCTCCCACTCCTACTCTACTACTACTACTACTACTACTACTACTACTACTGCTACTGCTACTGCTACTGCTACTGCTACTACTGCTGCTAGTACTACTACTACTACTACTACTACAACTACTGCTACAACTACTACTACTACTACTACTACTACTACTACTACTGCTACTACTGCAGCTGCTGCTGCTGCTACTACTACTACTACTACTACTACTACTACTGCTACTGCTACAACTACAACTACTACTACTACTACTACTACTACTACTGCTACTACTGCTGCTGCTGCTGCTACTACTACTACTACTACTACTACTGCTACAACTACAACTACAACTACTACTACTACTACTACTACCA